CCCCCCCCCCCCCAACTATTAGTTTTGCACTGGCCTGACTTCCAGCCTCACTGCTGCCCAACACCAGGCTCATCCCCTCTCAGGGGCATGGGGTGGCACCGGGGGGTTCCAGGGTCCGGCTTTGGGGGTTTGGCCCCTTTGCTGCTCATAGCTGTGTACCCTGGGCGGCTGTCTCCACTGTGTTGGCTGTGTGAGTAAGCCTCCCTCCCGCCCCAGAAACAGCCACAATCTCCTCCTTTGTGAGTTTCTAGCTCAGAAAAGGCTGATTCATTCTCTGAAGCAGATTAATTACTTCTGCTATTAAAAAAAAAAAAAAAAAAAGAAAATCCTTTAGAGTTGGTCGGCTTAACTTTCAGCTGCATATACAATGCAGTAAAGCAAATGTGCTCTGAGCCAGAGCAAAAAAAGTTTGCATGGAAGAAGAAACTGTGGGTTGCAATATTTACCTGGTGCTTCAGCAGTGGGCTCTGCAATTTAGGAAGTATTCAGGAACATGTCTTGTTCTTGTCTTCTGTGACAAGTGGTGCAAATTTGATCCTGTCATGAAGGTGAATTGGGAAACAAATATTTTTATTCCCTGATATGTTTTATAACTTATTTCCCTTCTGGTTTACATCATGCTGATGTGGCACCCGGCTCCTTGATTAGCTTGCATCCGAAGCCTGACTGAGCTGCTCCATTTCTTCCTCGGAAGGCTGCTTTCCAGCCTGCTTGGCTCTGTTCACTTGTTTATGCACTGATGGGCTGTAGTTCCACATTTCAGAACAAGCTGTCCAATATTCATGAGTTATTTTGTATTTACTGAGTCCTGAGGCTTCTTTTATAAGCTGGGGGATAAATTCTGAGTTTTGTTATTTCCATTGCTGGAAATGGACTGAATCTCCACAACCGTTACCAAGCCCTAAATATGGCCTCATTTATCTAGAAGAAAGGTAGGGGAAAGAACTATCACAAAGCTAAATTGATTTACAGGCCTATGATCTCCAAACCCCTGTTCTGGTAGGCAAGTGCTGGAGCAAGCCATATGTGTAGAGATGAATCACTTATAAAATTATATCCTTAATATTGGTTGTATATTTATTTATCAGATAAATATAGTTATTTTCCTCTTGAAGATCAATGACAGCCACATGCTTAGCTGGCCTAAAGCAGTGCAGCTCTTTGGACTATGCAAACCTGAGGATATGACTGAACAACTCATTTCTTTGCAAAGAGAAAAACAATACCAACTACTTGTTTCTAAAGTGATTTAAATTATTATGCAGGAAAAACTAAGAGATCAAAGTGATCGTGTAAGATGTCCTGCATGTAAGTTAGGCCTATATATATATAGTGAGACCATTTTGCCCCAGCATGAAAATTTCCCATCATAAACCTCCAAAGCGCTGGGCTATATTAAAATCCCTTCACATTAATTCCACAACTGAGCTAGAACTGAAAAGATAATGTCTAGGAGGGCAACTTTAGGTCTTCTTAAAACAGCTGGACCAAGTACTGTAGCAAAGTGAAGGGTTAAGCCAGTCAGTGTTCTAGGATTACTGTGTTATAAGGACTTCAAACTTTTTCATCCAACAGTAGAGAAAATATTCAGAAGATGTCTTTGGGGTGGATTAGTTTTGAAATCATGCTAAGCCACTCTTCAACAAGAATTTATTTTAAACAGCTCAAATGCTTAATTTCTTGAATTAGCAGCTGAGCACATTCTCTGGTTACTCTTAGTAATGTTCATATTCAGACGAACTCACAGAAGAGTATCTGGGTCTGTTCTTAACGTGTGCAGTATGTACTTTGCCTGTGCCATTAGGAATCCTGGCTATGGTCAGCCTTATCAGAACAAAAATGTTCAGGATGTTTGGTTTTGGGCCGTCCACCAGGTGAGATGCCAGGCACCATGATTCATCAGCAGTTGAACGGAAAAGCTGATCTCGATAGAAGGGAGTCTCATTTGCAGCCTGTTTGGAGAACAGCTGGAAAAACGCTGCTTCCTCATGCACTATTCTGGTGTCTCAGTAGCTGTTTTCAGCAGGGGTGTCCATAAATGTTAATATAGATCTGTGTAGCTCTTTGCCTTTAGTGGTGATGACAACCTTTTCCCCTGTGATCCTTCTGCATCATACTGGTTTTTAGGGAAGAGCTGTTCCCTGCCTGAAGATCTTAATCCTTGTGCAAGGGAGGAGAGTTTGTGCCTGTGCCAGAGGAGCATGGCTAAAACTTGCACAGGACCTGCCTGCCTCTTCCCTGTCGGGCAGGGCTTGAAAGGTCTTTTTTTTTTTTTTGTAATTACATCTTCTCACTACTGCAGCACCAGTGTGTGTGTGCAAGGGAGCAGAGTTCAGCTGCCTTGGTAGCCTTCATCCTGGCAGTTCCCCTGTAGCCTTACTATGGGTGTAATATATATATATATATGAAGGATAAATAAAGTAAGTAAGTATCAGGCTCTTTACTCAGCCTGTACTTAGGAGCACGTACAT